GGAACTGCAACCGTCTCTCAATTTTGGCTTCATCGAGAGACATTTCCGGCCACGCACGGGCTTCACACGCCAATTGGACTTCTCCCAATCCAGGCACATGGGCTTCGCCACCATCTGGCGAAAACGCCGCCGACTACGACTACCCATCGCCCTACAACAGGCCTTGGCGATTTTTGGGCGATCTTGGCAGCAACACTCTACGACGATTTGATGCCATCCGTTACATACGGAGCAGAGACTTCCCACCCGCCGCTCTCTATGTCCTTCATCGCATAGCCACACACCTGCCTGAACCACACCACCAGACATGCCTTTCCGCCATTCGATCCAGTTTCCGATTCCGGGGCCTCATTCCACCTGGCCCCTCCAGACCGATGCTTGCACCCTTCCTCGCCCATCCTTCTTTCCGATCCCTGCTTTTAACCCAACTTCGCGGGTTTATTCGATCTACCACTCGCAGCGCTTTACCGTTTCACATGGCACAACCACGCATTGTCTTCAAGGCACATCGGAGACTCTCCAGTGCCTTGTTCTCACATCTCCAGGCAGCAAAAACCTGGAGTCTCGGTGAAACGACCTGCACATGCACCGACCTCGCCCAACGACACCCATCCCTCCCGAAGCATGACGGACACCTTCTTTTCTCCGGTGCAGACACCCATGAGCTGTTCGACTCCGACACTGCCCACATGCTATCCGGATCGATGCGCAACTCCTTCTTTCCTCCACGAGGGGTCTTGATGAGTCGCCTGACCCAGGCATTTCAACACTGGGCCAGGACCAACAACCTACCCGCGCTCGACCCATCAACCCTCACTACTATTGTCGAATTCCATTTCGACCTCCACCTTTCACACACATCACAGTACTTTCTTCACGCCCACGTCCAACGGGCTCTGCATACCCTGGAACCCCTTGTCCGCCATTGCGAAGACCATGCGGACTCCCGACTCATGATCTATTGTCCCGTTCTCTACGGCAAGATGTTGGAAGCCACTTTTGCGGACCCTGCCATCTTCGCCCCTCTGCCGGTCCCTGCCATTGAGATCCACCAACGACTACGAGAAACCATTGTCACCAGATTCCGCGGCCGATTGACCGGATTGGCCGCTATCCTTGGGCCGTGACCGGATTCGGAAGGCCAGCCAACGCCTACATCCTCCCGAAGAGGAAGAAGAACTGGACCACTGCCCGGCCCATCATCAGTTTCATTGGCGCCTTCTTCCGACCCATGCTCGACGCTCTCGCCAAGCTCCTCCACAGCATGGTGGCCACGGCTTGCCCTGACGCGTTTTCAGGTGGCGACCTCTTTGAACTCATGCGGTCCTTGCACGAGTTTCTAAGCCTCGGCCACACCCATTTGGACTACCGAAACCAGGACCTTTCCGGTTTTTTCACCTCCATCGACAAAGACCGCTTCTTAGCAGCCTGGCGACTACTGCTAACCTGGTACCGACAACGACAACCACACTCCTCTACCACACACCTCACAGTGGACACACTTGACACCTCTGCCATCACCCGCGTCTACAACGGACGCCGTCGCCGACACAAACCCACACAACGCACCCTGTGGCTC